TTTTTTTTTTTAGAATTCTCTTCTGCTCACCAAGGCTGCATTTATTTGATCCAAAGTACAGCAAAAACAGTAAAATGTTGAAATATTTTTACTATTTAAAATTGCTTTCTATTTGAATAGATTTTAAAATGTAATGTATTCCTGTGATCATACATAGCTAAATTTTCAGCAGCATTCCTCCAGTCTTCAGTGTCACATGATCCTTCAGAAATCATTCTAATATGCTGATTTGCTGATTATCAGTATTTAAAACAGTTGAGACGTATTTTTTTTAGGATTCTTTGATGAATAGAAGGATCCAAAGATCAGCATTTATCTGAAGTAAAAAGCTTTTGTAACATTATACACTATTCCATTCAGTATAATTTTTTATTATTTTTTTGGGAAAGAAATTATATAAATTAATACTTTTATTTAGCAAGGATGCTTAAAATTGATCAAAAGTGATGATAAAGGCATTTATAATGTTACAAAAGATTTATATTTCAGATAAATAGTGTTTATATCGATATCGGAATTGTATCGTATCGACCGAAATTAAGAAATATATTGTGATGTAAATTCTGGCCATATCGTCCAGCCCTAGTATATATGTATAGAAAGAAATGTTTTGATTCAACATACAATTTATTACACAAACTTTTAAGGCTACAATGTGGCCATTTTTAAAAATGAAATAGTAACACTAAATATGAAACTAAAACCATCAGTAGCTGGTGGCATGTCATTCAGCAATTCATTCAAATGGAACACTGAATCATTGGCTTTATTTGATTCTTATTTATTTATTTGATTATTTGGTTCATTCATAAATGTGGATTCATTCAGTAATGAAACATCGCTGTGTTGCTCGGTGACAACAGTTCTGCTGTGGCTTTGTTTGGAACTACTTTTGTTGGCAAAAATGAAAGACAGTATCAACTCTTGCATAAAAACAGTATCTTATTTGCAGTCGTGCAGATATTTGGGAAAAATCTGCACTCCTGCTAGTGTGATATTGCTAAACTGCATCATATGATATAATTATGAGATAAATACTCATACAGGGCATCTTACTGACACTGTGCAAATTTCCTGTATGAATACTTGAATGACACATTTTGGCACATAATTTAATGGAATAGTTCACCCAAAAAAAAAAATGGCTAAACTGCATCATATGATATAATTATGAGATAAATACTCATACAGGGCATCTTACTGACACTGTGCAAATTTCCTGTATGAATACTTGAATGACACATTTTGGCACATAATTTAATGGAATAGGTTCACCAAAAAAAAAAAATGTGTATAATCAGTATAATCACTCTCTGGCCATCCATAATGTAGATGAGTTTGTTCCTTCATAAGAACAGATTTGGAGAAATGTAGCATTACATCACTTGCTCACCAATCTTCTGCAGTGAATGGGTGCCGTCAGAATGAGAGTCCAAACAGCTGATAAAAACAGCATAATAATCCAGAAGTAATCCACACCACTCCATTCTATCAATTAGTGTATTTTGAAGTGAAAAGCTGTGTGTTTGTAAAAAAAAAACTAATCCATCATTAACTTTGAATCGTCATTTCTAGCCAAAATACAAGTCCATAATCCATATTTGAAGACTGAAGTCCATCCCCTGTTGTCCTCTCACATCAAAATCCACCGACTTATTTTTTACTGTTTTGGATGTAGCATTACATCACTTGCTCACCAATCTTCTGCAGTGAATGGGTGCCGTCAGAATGAGAGTCCAAACAGCTGATAAAAACAGCATAATAATCCAGAAGTAATCCACACGACTCCAGTCTATCAATTAGTGTATTTTGAAGTGAAAAGCTGTTTGTTTGTAAAAAAAAAACGAATCCATCATTAAGGCATTTTAACTTTGAATCGTCATTTCTAGCCAAACTACAAGTCCATAATCCATATTTGAAGACTGAAGTCCATCCCCTGTTGTCCTCTCACATCAAAGTCCACCGACTTATTTTTTTAGAACTGTTTTGGACTTTTTTCACTTGTAAATGGTGTTTGATCTGCATATTTCGCCCCTGATTCAGACGAGATGACTTTTTCACTTGAGAAAGCAATATTATGGATAATTCACTCATATTTTAGCCAGAAGCAACAATTTGAAGTTAAAAACATCTTAATTATGGATTCATTTATTGCAAATATACATCTTTAACTTCACAAGACATTAATTGCTGGACTGGAGTCGTGTGGATTGCTTGTGGATTATTGTGATGTTTTTTATCGGCTGTTTGGACTCTCATTCTGACGGCACCCATTCACTGCATCTATGGCCCTGTCCCAAATGGCACACTTCATATGCACTTGCAGTCTTGCGGACTTATGGCTGCCGTGTGCACGTGTGATGTGAGCAAGTGATGTAATGGTAAATTTCTCCATATCTGTTCTGATGAAGAAACAAACTAACTCATCTCCATCTCGGATGGCCTAAGGGTGAGCAAATGTACATTTTTGGGTGAACTACTCCTTTAATACGGTTTGAAACATTAATTGTTGCACACTGCTTACTGTTTTGCATACTACTGCGTAGTTTGAATATAGCTTTATAGGTATTTATCACACATTACAAAATATGTGATTATATTCGGAGCAAAAAATAAATTGATGGCAAATTTGTATGTGATGGTAGGAATGTTAAAGATTGGATCATCTTGTTGCAGAAGAATCAACTGAAAGGAATCGACTGATGGTTCGACATCTCTGGAGACCCAGAGGAGAGCCGTGTTACGCATTTAGGAGGAGGAGGGTGTTTCTCAGCCTGTCCCGTGATCCCTAACTTCTGCTTTTGCACTAGACAAGATGTTAATTGATGGACTGGAGTGGTGTGGATTATTGTGATGTTTTTTATCGGCTGTTTGGACTCTCATTCTGACGGCACCCATTCACTGCATCTATGGCCCTGTCCCAAATGGCACACTTCATATGCACTTGCAGTCTTGCGGACTTATGGCTGCCGTGTGCACGTGTGATGTGAGCAAGTGATGTAATGGTAAATTTCTCCATATCTGTTCTGATGAAGAAACAAACTAACTCATCTCCATCTCGGATGGCCTAAGGGTGAGCAAATGTACATTTTTGGGTGAACTACTCCTTTAATACGGTTTGAAACATTAATTGTTGCACACTGCTTACTGTTTTGCATACTACTGCGTAGTTTGAATATAGCTTTATAGGTATTTATCACACATTACAAAATATGTGATTATATTCGGAGCAAAAAATAAATTGATGGCAAATTTGTATGTGATGGTAGGAATGTTAAAGATTGGATCATCTTGTTGCAGAAGAATCAACTGAAAGGAATCGACTGATGGTTCGATATCTCTGGAGACCCAGAGGAGAGCCGTGTTACGCATTTAGGAGGAGGAGGGTGTTTCTCAGCCTGTCCCGTGATCCCTAACTTCTGCTTTTGCACTATGCTGACAACTCTAAGAATTAGCAAATTGAAAGACAAGAGTGAATGTACAGCGATGCAGCTTATCACAAGCTTTTTTTTGTACTTATTGTTTTTTAATGTAACAATTTGCTAAGTCGGGAATACCCGGTTTCAGTAATTAAAAGTCAAATTTTCATAGTAGTTAATAGAAATCCTGTTAATAGAAATCCATTATTAAGGGCATTATAATAACTTTCATGTCGAGTATATATCATTCAATGTTTTGCGCACATAGCTGCTAATTGTCATTACTACTGTAGCAATGTGTAGGATGCACTGATGAGTACAGCACAGGTGATTTCTGCTCGAATATCTATCTGATTCTTGGCATGTTTGGCAGAAAAGAGCCCATATTTGGGGTTTGAACCGTAATGGGAATAAATCAGGAACCCCTCAAATTGTTGGAGGTCGTATGAGTATTTTTTTTAATATACATTAATATCTTAGCGTTCGCTTAAGTGATCTGTGGTGCTCTTTAAAGCCATAATATGCTTAAAATGCTTATGTAGCTGACCCTTGTTTGGCAAATCTGAGGAAAGGGTCAAAAGGCAATATCGAAAACTACAGTACGTTCTTCATCCGCTCAACATCCCATCATGATGCCTGGAAAGAACTGACCTATCCGGCTCCCTCTAATGTGTGTAGACATTGAGCAACACATCTTAAAAATGTCTGAACGTCACTGGCTTAAAGGAATAGTTCACCTAAAAATGTAAATTTGCTGAAAATCTACTCACCCTCAGGCCATCCAAGATGTAGATGAGTTTGTTTCTTCATCAGAAGAGATTTGGAGAAAATTTAGCATTGCACTTGCTCACCAATGGATCCTCTGCAGTGAATGGGTGCCGTCAGAATGAGAGTCCAAACAGCTGATAAAAACATCACAATAATCCACAAGTAATGTTAGTAATCTCGTCTGAATCAGGAGGGTGTTTCTTACAAACACGCAGCTTTACATTTCACGAGATGTTAATTGATGGACTGGAGTCATGTGGATTATTGTGCTGTTTTTATCAGCTGTTTGGACACTCATTCTGACGGCACCCATTCACTGCAGAGGATCCATTGGTGAGCAAGTGCAATGCTAAATTTTCTCCAAATCTCTTCTGATGAAGAAACAAACTCATCTACATCTTGGATGGCCTGAGGGTGAGTAGATTTTCAGCAAATTTTTATTTTGGGGTGAACTATTCCTTGAAAAAACGAATATCAACGTAAGTGTCATTTATTTGAAAGAAAAACAAGCACACTTTAAAAAAGAATATATGCAAAAAGTGTAGGTTTCAGATAATAAAACAGTGGTTAAATAAGTGAAGTTTAAGAGAAAATAATGATTTGTTTGAAGAATGATGTTTATTTTATTATTATAATTGTTTTTTTGTTTTTTTTACAGTGACATTCAAACATTAGTGTGACTCAGGTGTGCATATATTTTCGGGTCCACTGTATTTTGTCAGTGCATTTCTCAACATGGTCGCATCGTTACTAATTTTAATTCATGGCTGTGGTGAATATTTTGAATATTACTACAAAGACTGTATGCATGAGAAATTTAAAACCTTTGTCAATGTTTGCAAGGTGTAATTGAGATCGAAAAACGACCCGGGTTGATTTGCAAAGCACTTTGGATGAATGTGAAGACAGATTAAGAACTGAAATAAATACAATGTTTAATGTTTAGAGCTCTAAGACTGAAATCTAATAAATAATTAATATAGGATGTTTTTTTTTACTGAGAAATGCTAATCGGACCAATCACCGCAGATTAGCGTCAAGCAAAGGAGGGGTTTGGAAAAATGAATCGTTAAACGAATCGTTTGGGAGTCTTTGAGCAACTAGGTAAAAATAAATGCATATTATAACACAATGAAAATGTTTTTTGACCTTGCATGCATGTCAACCTGTTGTTGGGGTCTCCCAAAACAAAAATATTAGGGGTGGAACGGTTCGCGGAAAAAAATAGAACCGTACGGTTCTCCACACACGGTTCGGCACGCGCTAGGACCGCGGTTCAACTTAAATCTGACAACGCATCTGTAATATGGTTTGCTATAAATAACACGTAAAACAAACAGGGTTCGGCTAATGTATGTTTCTGTTGATGGATGCGCATTCTGGCTTCCCAATACATTACAACAACAGCGATGAAAAAAAAAAAAAACAACGTGGACAAACCGTTCACTCTTGTTCAATGCGAATGCCGTATGCTGGAATATGAGCAGTCATTTATTCCGTCATCACCCGGGTGCTGATAGCACGCGCACAGGTGAGACCTGAACAGCACACGTTGATATCCGTGTTTAAACTAAGCTCATTTAAGCTTTGCCAGTTTAAACATGTTTTGTAAAAATCGACGCGTTTCAAAAAGGCGGGGCATAGAGGAGAAACAATAATGTACAGTATGTGGAAAATAATGTGTTTTTTTAACTTTAAACCGCATAAACACATTTCATTACACCAAATACACAAAATAATGTTCTTTTTAGCAGCATCATATGACCCCTTTAATATTTTCGTGGGGCATAAATTCACACATATGGTGGAACCATTCTGAGATCATAATGAGAAAAGAAACAGTTGAGATTAGTTAAGATTATCTATTGAAATAACCACAAGAAAATTTCATTATATTCATGATCAAAAAATATAATGCATTTTTTTTTTCATTGCCTTTGACATCTGTATTATTATTGGCCCTCTTACCTCTGTTGAGAATGTTCTGGAACACCAGCTGAGGGGTCTCGTCATTGAACGGCGGGACTCCCGTGAGGAACTCGAACAGACAAACACCTAACGCCCACCAATCCACCACGAAATCTGTTGGAGAGCAAAAAAAAATAAAAATGTAGACTAAAAGTTCCATTTCTACAAACATGCACATTGGTACAAAATGTGTTAGAATGTGACCACTATTATAAAGCATTGACAGCAGTGGTCATAAGTTGATTTTGAAGGGAAAAGGAATCAGCACAACACAAAAAAAAATATATATATACAGTGGGTACGGAAAGTATTCAGACCCCCTTAAATTTTTCACTCTTTGTTATATTGCAGCCATTTGCTAAAATCATTTAAGTTAATTTTTTTTCCTCATTAATGTACACACAGCACCCCATATTGACAGAAAAACACAGAATTGTTGACATTTTTGCAGATTTATTAAAAAACAAAAACTGAAATATCACATGGTCCTAAGTATTTTCTGTCAATATGGGGTGCTGTGTGTACATTAATGAGGAAAAAAAATTAACTTAAATGATTTTAGCAAATGGCTGCAATATAACAAAGAGTGAAAAATTTAAGGGGGTCTGAATACTTTCCGTACCCACTGTATATATATGTTACATTACATAAAATGACATCTTCTCAGGAGTTATCAGACATAAATATCTTCAAATCTGACCAACTTGGAGGGGGAAAAAAGCCTTCAGCCTAAAAAAGGTGAAGTTCTCATGCCAGCAGTGACAAATGACTAAATGAAAAAAAATTATAATAATAATTTTTTAAATATCTAGGATGTGCTGGGTGGTTGCCAGGGGGTTCTGGGTGGTCAAAAAGACAATCAAAAGAGTACAGCTTTAAGTCTCTAGATTTGGCTCAGTCCCTTCTTCGATGGTAACTGTTTGCTAAAGTAATACCACACATCTTCTCAACAAGCTGCACTAAATGAGGCTTTTTTTATTCCTGTAGGACAAACCTGAACTTGTTTAAACTGCTAACCTAAAAGTATACTTCAGTTTTCACGCAAATGCTTAGTGTAACCATATAGCATAGCCTTTCAATTTGACAGCGTGCACGAAACACAGGCAGTCAACACATGCATACTAAAGTTTGATCTTTGTCCAACATTGCCCTATTTCTTTCAAAATGTGTGCCACACACTCTGTACGGATACTCTAGTGTACACACAAAACTAAACTATAATGTGGGTTTAACAAATATATCCAAGGTATATGTCAGTTTTTATTTGTACACTAGGGTATGCGAACAGTTCATTTTTGTACTAATAAGTTGGTTCAAGCGAAAGAAACAGATGAGATATAACAATAAATTATGCTACCACAATAGACGCCCGAGTTGACAGGCACCTGTGTGTGGTTTAAATGAGTATGAAGACTTCAACACTCAGCTTCTGGAGAGAAATTGCACCGACACTGGACAAAATATGGAACTCTCTAATGTGTCAAGTGCCTGTGTTTGCACATGCTGCAAAATTGAGTATATTTTGAAAGGTTAAGCGCTTAGCTGTGTGTATATGTTAAGTGTTTGTGTCAAAACTGATCCCCAAACCATCCCACAGTCTTCCAACCAAACAGGTAGTCCCACCCCAAACTCACACCATTGGTTTTATCAGAAGTTGACATCTCATTCCGCTGAAAACAAAGAGAGCAATGTTTGGAAAGCACCACAAAGTTAGTGCTCACATTTTTCAGGAAGTCAAGCCACAAAATGACTTTTACTTGACTCCATAAACTGGGACACCAGAAAATATTTTTCCCTGCATTTCATTAGAACATCCCAGAATTCCCAAGAACCACCATAGCATCCCAACAGAGTTCATACAGCATTACTGAAGCATTAAGGGTGATGAATCAGAAGCCGCCAATCACAAAAGCTGAAACCCATAAAAGAATTAGTCAGCCATGTCCTTAACTAAAGGCCCCGATATACAAAAAAAGAAAAACGAACAAGTGTGACATCATTTCTAACTAAATCGGGCCAAAACAAAGTGTGTTTGACATTGGTTTCAGGAGTTTAAAGCATCTTGCCAAAACAAACGTTCCGTAAACAGTCAGCTGACTGCTAAACACCTTCAAACTACAGTACCATTGGTCCATAGGTAGGTGTGGATCTGTGGTTGCGCCTTCTTTGAAGTGTAATTCTAATTGAAAGCAAGGCTATCACATTTTGTTTAACACTGTAAAGCTGCTTGTTTTAAAGGGGTCATATGACGTTGCTAAAAAGAACATTATTTGGTGTATTTGGTGTAATGCAATGTGTTTATGTGGTTTAAGGTTCAAAAACACATTTTCCACATACTGTACATTATTGTTTCTCCTCTATGCCCTGCTTTTCTGAAACGCGTCGATTTTTACAAAGCTCATCGGTCTGAAAAACGAGGTGTGCTCTGATTGGCCAGCTATCCAGTGCGTTGTGATTGGCCGAATACCTCAAGCGTGTGACGGAACTGTTACGCCCCTTACCATACCGTGATGCCGTGTCCCGGCACGATGAGACAAAACCAGTAAAACCAATTATAAACGAGGCATTTGTTGCATCCAGTGGGGACATAATT